TAAAAGTTTTTTATTAGCAAATTTTAACATGTTTTTATATGGAAGGACTTTGATTGTAAATTTTAGAAAATTAGAGAGCTAAATCGAAGGAAAACAAAAAAATCTAATGGATTAGAGACTATTTGATAGACTTAGCCACGATCAAAAGTTACAACTAGATCATGACGAAATCCAACCTTCAAATCTCAAGGAAAGACGTAAGAGATGTCTTGTCAACTCAAAACTATGATCGGATTGGTAACTAGACAAACTACAATTAGGAGATTAAAAAGAAGCGGCATTCTTTGTCCATTTTGTCCATATTTTGATCTATATTCACTTTCAAACCACAAAAGTATAGAACTTTAGTATCAAATATTATGTAGGTATTATTTAAGGGTTTTAATGTTTGCCCATGCTTGGATTCAATAATAATACAAATATATGGGCCATACCTCTCAAAAAAGAAAGCACATTTTTCTTTTGGTGAATGAAAGGAGAGAAAAAGACCTCACCTTTTCAAGCCAGCCCCACAACTTAATTTCATTATTATGCGTAGGTAAGGATATCGGTTCGGTTCTTCGCATTTCATTTCTCTAGGCCCTTTAGCTCTATTCTAAAATATATAACCTTTGAAAATATCTATTTTAGTTTTGACAAGTAGATGAAGTGGTTTCAAATATGTGTTCTAAGAGCATGATGGAGATTAGTACGATGTTACATCTCTATCTTTAAGTTATGTAACTTTACTTTTGTTTAACCAAACAAAACCTCTCGTACTAATGGGGATATTGTCTTTATTTGTTTGTACTATATACGAATCTTTCTCGCTTTTAAGTTTATATGAGATTATGTTAGTATCTTCAACAATGTGAACGTACATGTATTGAAATTGTATGAGTGGGGCAAATATTGAAAGCAAAATAATGAAAACTAAAAATTATTATTTTTTAAAGTTTATGAACTAAAATGGCACCCATCTTAAATTTTAGAGGCTAAAGTGAGATTGAAACATTGGTTAAATTATTAGTACAAGTTATTTTAATTTGACTAAAATCTCAGTCTAATCTATGAACTTTGATATTTAAAATATTATCTCCCTCAACTTTCGAATATACTATTTTGGTCCTTCAATCTTATTGATAGGTTAATTATATATAAAAATAATTAATTGAATATTGCATGAATTAAAAACAAACATTTGAAGTTTCAGGAATTAAAATAGAATTTTTAGAAAAATTCATATATGAAAATAGGACTTAAATCATTTTATTTATTTTTTATTTTTTATTTTAAAGAATGGTCTAACTCTGAACCTAAGATTTTAGAATAGGAATGAAGCCAAGTTGGTTGCTTTTTTACTTGTTTACATCATTTTGATGAGATCCCTTAAAATATTTTGCAAAAAATAAAAAATAAAATAAAATACCGATTAAAATATATATTTTATTAATTGGGTTTAAATTATTCTTATTTTATTTTGATGGATGGATTATGTTAGTCATACAATTGAAAACTTTTAATTTGTAATAGGTTATTGATATTTTGTTTTAAAACTATCACTTCAATTTTTTAATTAATATTCTCTTAAATGTCTATTAAACATAGATTAGAAAATGGATCAAATTACAAATTTAGTTTATAAACTTTCAAAATGATCACGTCTATTCAAATTGTTTCTAATAAATGTATGAAATAAAGCTTTGTATTGTTCCATCCTTATACTTTAAAAAGATTTTAACATATCCCTAAACTTTTAATTTTGTATTTGATATGTCTCTACCGTTAACTCCGTAAAGTTAACGTTCATGCCATCAAACACTTTAAACGGCTAGAAACCAACCCGTCAAGTAATTATTAATATTATCACAGTCAGTCAGCTGTAAGTTGATTAGAAAATTTTAAAATAGAAAGACTAAATAAAACTCATTCATATACAAAAATGTGAAATTCTAAACCTTAAAAGATCAGGGATTGATCCAAACATGATATACAAATACATATAAAGTCTAAAGAGATACTTGGAAGACGAGATAAAGCAAATTTTGGGGTTTTTGTTGACTTAACGATCGTTAGTTCGAACTATCGGTAATAAACTAGCGTTATTTAGAATTAAAATAGATATTTTTCTAGGTTACCCAAAGCCATGTGAATCTGAAAATAACAATCTTGATAAGGAATTGGAATAGAACCAACAAGAAATTGAGAGGGGGTGGTCCTCATAGTTCTCAAGCTCGTTTTTGGAGTATTTGATGGGAATCTGCTTTAAGCCTTTCCCAATTTGTTGATCTTATCTACAAAAAGAAGGAAAAAAAAAGATATTGCCTTCTTAATATTAATAAGACCATCAAAATCTAAAAGTTTAACTTTTAAGCTATTTTCCACTCCAAAATTTTAATTTTATGAAATAAAATCATCAAAATGATATCTATTATATTTTCTGAGTTCAAAAGTTTTAATGAGAAATTTTTTAAGTCATACAAAATTGAATCAATAGAATACTCAAAATTAAGTTATAGAATTGTGTATAGACTCAACTAAAAAAAATATTCCGACCGAGCCATCAAATCAAGTCCACCCCTAAAATCAAATCAATAAGAAAGCTGATGAGATGTCAAAAAATAAAATTAAAAGTTTTTTCAAAGGAAAGTTGATGTACTCAATTTGGTTGGTGGGTCAAGCCCAAATCATATATACTAAAATGGCCCAAAGCTTAGAAGGCCCATCGAGGCCCACCTTTATCTTATTTAATATATTTTTCTATAAATAATAAATTAAATTTATACTTCCAAAATTAATAGCTTGTATAATTAAATAATTAATTTTTGTTTACAATCATACTTAATTGAACCAATGAATTATAATTTTACCTAATTGAATCTTAAATTTTATTATTTGAGATAAGTAGTAAAATAAAAAAAATTAATGGCATTTTAAGAATTTTATTTACTTAATAATATAAATTTAGAGTTTTAAGCCTCATATTAGCTAAAAATTGATGCCTTAATTTATGTGGCATATTATACACAAATTAAATATTAAATGTTTAGTTTTTCAAAAAAGTTCAATGGCTTGAATAAAATAGGAGATAAACTTCCATTTGATCTTTATGCGTAGTTTAGCAAGGTTTTATTTATTTATTTATTTTTATTTTTATAACAAGTTTTATTTAATAGGTAGAAATGAGAAATTTCGTCAAAATCAACCGCTCATAAAAATTGGTTGATCATTCTTGCAATTTACCATACTTTTGACCATTTTTTTTTATTATCGTGGTATAAATATGGTCACTAATCCAAATTTTCTAAATATTAATCTCATATGTTAAAATATTTTGAAGTAATTTTAAAAACAAAGAAAATATCATTTTGTCGAAAATAAATACACAAAACACGTTTTTATTATTTGTTTTTTAAAACATAAAAATGAAAACAGATCACAAACCAATAGTCTTGGCAAAAGTATTTGTATTTAACCACAATTTAAAAATCGATTTTTATTAATAGCCAAATCACATGGATAAAATTTAAAAATATATAAGCTACATGAATTTTAAAATATATATTAAAAAAAACTCAATTGCAGATTTCTAATATTTTGAAAATTACAGATATATCCTCCCAACACGAGGTTTAATTGGAGAAGGATTATTCAAATGATTTATTAGTTATAAATTTATAATCGGAAAAGAAAAAGCAATTCCAAATCCTATATGGTTATGGTAAATTCCGATCCATAAAAATCGCCCTAACTTTCACTTTCACTCTCACTTTGGATTCAATTCATCTGTGACTAATTTTTCAAAATGAATATTCTAGAAAAGTTGCAACCAGTGTTAGAAAAATCGACACTCGAGGGAGCTTCGGAAGGCCATTTTGTAGTCTATGTGGGGGAAGAGCAAAAACGATATGTTGTTCCATTAAAGTGCTTGTCGTCGATCATGTTTCAAGCATTACTGAACCAATTTGAAAACAACATTCGGGGCGGAGAAGATGGGAAGTTGATGCTACCTTGCTCCATCCAACTATTTGAATGGGTCTTGGATTTGGTGAACGCATAGTAGTTTTGAAACTTTATGTGTCATTTTTTTTAGTACAACATGTAGGGATGAATATCAAACTCACAACCTCTTTTGGTTGAAAATATATGTCAATTACTACTGCTGTTTATTTTTTAAATATAAATAGAAAATAAAATTATTCGATTGGTTTGAGCCATTGATCATTTTGTGTATCTTTGAATTTTATTAATTACGTTCAAAATTAATAGATTTATTTGAATAACTCTGTAGAATAGAATTGAAATTTATGGCCATATGAATATAATTTTAGAACATATATCTTAGGTCAAACGTTTGCATATTCTCAACTTAAAATAAGATCTAACAAAATCTTTGTGTTATGTTTGTATATGCACTATGCATACGTGTACATGTGTATATATATTTATATTTAATATAGAAGAAAGAGAGATGGATCACAACTCAAATGAAACGATCGTCAAATCAAGTATATGTCAACAGTAATTGATATATATTTTCAATCAATCGGTTCGATTCTCCATCACCAGACGTTGTACTAAAAAAACTCAAATGAGATGATCTTAGATTCTGATAAATTTTGTAACTTTTACCCTCTATTCAATCTTTCTTTAACTCAATCACTAGATTTTACCATCAACAATGTAAATATTGCCAAAAACTCTTTAATTTCAACAAAATCAAACTTTACATGAATTAAATTTGATCAGCACTCACAATCAACTCTTCAACGACTCGTCCAAAGCTTATAATTTTATAATTTATTGAAGGTACATAAGAACACTTTTTATTCTTCAAACAAAAACCTATTGGAAGCTAAAAATGGCAACACACCTTTACAAGTTCAAGCTAAAGATTACAACAATGTCCAACGTGCAATTTGATGGAGTTAAAACTAAAATTTGTTTCTAAAGAAAAAAAAAATGGAATTACATTTATCAAATTGAAAATTTAATTACGCAAGATTGATGAAAGTGGAGAATATGTTGATGAAGCAAAGAAAGCGATTTGGGTTTCGTGAAAACGACGGAAGCGAAGACCACAGAATTCATCGAAAAGTCTTCTCTCCTCCCTCCGATCTTCTCTTCTCTTCAACGCCTTCGGATTTCGATCCCACTTCCCCTAAAAAATCTACCCAACAGGCGATTTCAACGGCCACGATTTCCATTTCCGATTCCGATTCAGAGCAACTCCCTCGAGTCAAAGCATATTCCCAATTGGGTACTGGAAATTTCTCAGTAGAGTCAAATTTAGCAGAGTTTGGATAATCTTCTGGAATTGATTCTGAAGCTTCCCGGGCGGGGAGAGGAGAGGAGTTCGATTGGGAATCAATGACAAGCTCGATTGAGGAGTGCGTCGACGAGAGTAAAACCCTAATTTTCGTGGGGTTTCAGGAAAATAAGCACAAGATTTTCAGGTGGGTTGCTACCGTTTCGGTTTTGCTGTTGATCTGAGGAGGAGGGGTGATCTTGCCTTTTCTTTTTCGAGGGTTTTCGGATGAGAAATGGGGGACACCGGAACTGCCCTGCACACTGCCATTAACGCTGTACAGGCACTTGGGAGGGGGTTCGATGTAAATTTCGATACAAGGTTGCTCTATTGTAAAGGCGTTTCTGGCTCTACCATAGTTGAGGTCGATGATGAACACACTAGAGATATCTGTTTGTATGATGATGTGGTTTTGCTCAATGTTTCCTGGGACATCAAGAACTTCCAGGAGCCTATTGGGCATCGATCTTCTGGAATTTGTAGTTTCGATGAGGTAACTTTATGAGTTTCCATCTCTTTAATCCGCTAAATCAAGGAGTTTTCTGCATTTTTGGTTAGTTTTATACTCAGTTATGATGAAACAATATGATTATGGAGCCATCTGAAGAACACTTATGGGCGACGATTAATGCGTATAGAGAGTTAATTGGAATGAGGACTACAAAAAATTGATCAAAAGTTGCGTACTTGCTTTTTGAGTTTGTTAGTGAAGTGATTGGAACTAGTGCGGGAAAATTTCCTCATACCTATCTTTATCCTTCTTTGCCGTTGAAAAGTTTGATAAAAATGTATCTCCACCATCCATATTGTGTATAATCTGGTGGTATAGAATTGTTGAAACTTGAAATTACTTTTATGACACCCTTTACTATATCTATGGTCCCTTGTCATCTCTTTTAGACAAAAAATACATTTTTTAAAATAAATAAGAAATAAAAAGAACTTGGTGCCTCAAGCTTAGGAACTTGCAGAAAACTGATCCATGAAAGATTAGTTTCTTTATAGGTTAGTAATAACTAAAAGTTTTGTCAATAATACACCTAGAAGAAGGTTTAATGTAAATTTAGTTGATGTCCAGATTTCTTCCCTATATGAGTGATTAATTTCTTCCCAGATAAAATCTTCGTGCTTTGCTCTCAGCAGATATCCATAGCATCTTTATTTAACTATTCCTTTTCTGATCTCTAAAAATGTGACTTGAAATTTTTTTAAAAAACAAAGTATTTTACTCATAATTATAATGTGCAGATGGTAAATTATATATTATCCTTGGAGCATCTGCTGAATGTTACTATTGCCGGTGACTGATCAATGTACTTTTAATTATAACATGCAGATGGTAAATTATTTTAATCAAAAGGACGGTCTTTCTGAAGGCTATACATCTGGAAGTTTTAATAGTGCGTTCGGCTTCAATGGCTCAAAGCAGATTGACGCTGCCACAACGAAGAACCTTTCCATGGATGGGTTTTATATTCCACTTGCAAAATTTCAGTTTACAAAAACCCCATTAGTGTTGCAAGAAAATGTCAAACGGGCCATTCCAACTTCTTGGGACCCGCCCTCCTTGGCAAGGTGGGAAGCCTTCGCATCCTTGCAAGTGATTATATAATGACAATAAAGTTTCTTTCTTATCAATTGTCTTTTCTTTCTTTTTTTTTTTTTTGGGCAGCTTTATTGAGAATTTTGGGACGCATGTAATCACATCTATAACTATTGGTGGTAAGGATGTGATATATGTTAAACAGCACCAGTCTTCTCCTTTATCAACCATGGAGGTAAAGAGATATGTACAGGACATTGCAAACCAGAGGTTCTCTGACACGCAAGGTCTAACGGGTTCTGGAAGTATAAAACTTAAGGAAAAGGTTATTTCCTAAATTTTGGAACCCTCTTCCAGGCTTCAGTTAATTTCTTGGCATTCTGTGAGTTGTTTTTCTTTTCTAATGCCTCCTTTGTGTTTGAATCCTGCAGGGTCTTGATGGTGGATTATTCAACAATCAAGGGGTATATCCTCAGCCTACTTCTGCTCCATATCTCACTGGTAAAGAAGTATGTGGAAATTATGTTATTTATTTGGAGGACTGATTTTCACGCTCACTAGACAGTCATAATCTGATTGACTTTTAATTTTGATCATTTTCCTCATATGTGATATGTTTTAGCCATGTGATTCACTGTTAGAAAACATCTACATTGTAGTTTGTATTGTTTGGATTGCAGGCGTTAGTTCATGGACGATGTAATTACTTGTGACTAACTACTCATTTCTTATATTTTAATAAATTAGGACGTCACGGTTATATTCCGGAGGAGAGGAGGAGATGACTTGGAACAAAACCATGTTCGGTGGGCAAGAACCGTTAGGTTATCCCCTGATGTAATTGAGATGACTTTTTTCCCTATAACTGCTCTCCTTGATGGTGTAACTGGAAAGGAGCATTTAACTCGAGCTATTCTTCTCTACCTTGAATGTGAGAAGACTTGAGCTCTTTACATGGTGCTACAGTTGTAATGGTTCAACCGCAATCCCCAAAATTTGATCTCAATGATTTTTTGTCTGCAGATAAACCTCCATTAGAAGAACTTAGATATTTCTTGGAGTTTCAGATTCCTCGGGTATGGGCTCCTGTACGTGACACGGTTCCGGGCCATCAAAGAAAAGAACCAGTATGCCCGTCTTTGCAATTCAGTATAATGGGGCAAAAACTATATGTCAGCATAGAGCAGGTTTGAGCTAATTTGATATGCACTCTAATGAATGTGATGAGACGGAAAACTTTTCTGAAATTGAACATATTTAAGCATTTGAATTAGGATTTTTCGTTCTGTAGCCTCCATCTCCCCTTTTTCTCTCATTTGAAAACAAAATAAACAAAGTTCTGATTTCAGAACAGGATGTTGAGAACTGTGTCAAAATATTCTCCTGAGGCACAGTGCTGTGTCTTATTAGAATCATGTTTTGTATTTGGATCGTAAGAGAACAACTTAGACAGTGATTTTTTATGATTTTCAACCTTTCTGCTGAAATTGTGGAGGATTGGTTCAATCAAGCCCCACCGAGTGTTGGAAACAAGCTATAGCACTTACTCCCGGTAAATATATTGAAGCACAAAATTGGTTGAAGATCACGAGGCATTTCAAATAAGAAAACTCTGTTTATTATTTTTTTCTTTATTTTAAATTTTAACTGCTGGGCTATTATTAAACTTTTCTTTTGATAAATATTTTCAAATATGAATAAAATTTTCATATTTTGTATAAATATATAGCTATTATATTTAGCTAATATTAGTTAGAAATTTTGTAATCAGCCTTCTTACTCTTCTATTATAACTAGCCTTATATCTTTAGTATACCAGTGGTTAAATCCCTTTTCCTTTGCCTATATTTGTTGACACAATCTTTCCTCATGTAAGGATGGTTTGGCTCGATGCTAATGCAGATATCGATAGGACGTAAGCCAGTGACCGGTATGCGCTTGTCTCTCGAAGGGAGCAAGCAGAACCGGTTAAGTATCCATCTTCAACACCTTGCTTCTCTTCCGAAAATCCTGCAGCCATATTGGGACACACATGTTGGAATTGGTGCTCCCAAGTGGCAGGGGCCAGAAGAACAAGATAGCCGGTGGTTCGAGCCAGTAAAGTGGAAAAACTTTTCCCATGTGAGCACCGCGCCCATCGAAAATCCCGAAACCTTTATGGGAGAGCTATCTGGTGTCTACATAGTCACTGGAGCTCAGCTTGGAGTCTGGGATTTCGGACCAAGAAATGTGTTGTACATGAAGCTTCTGTATTCTAGATTGCCAGGATGTACGATACAGAGAACATTATGGGATCATTTGCTGAACGACAAGTCGAAAAAACTAGTGTCGTCCAGTGATAACAGTAATGCTGATGATTCGAGTTCGGGATCAAGAAACATACAAGGCAACAAATTGGCAAAGCTCGTCGACACGTCGGAGATGAGTAAGGGGCCGCACGATCCTCCGGGTCACTGGTTGGTTACAGGTGCGAAACTAGGCGTGGAAAAGGGTAAAATTGTGTTGAGAGTGAAGTACTCCTTGCTTAATTACTGAATTGTTTATGCTTTTTCCTACAAATGAGAGATGGCAGCCTTGAATATTGGTAGGTAGAGGGAGTATTAGTATAGCTGAAGATTAAAGTGAGTTCATCAAACTTGTAAAAAGAATTGTTGCAGTTTGATGAACATAATCAAGTGGTAGATTAGATGTTTTGAATTTAATTTATGAAGCTCTACCATTAACTGAGTGGAAAAATTATATATATATGAACAAAAAAACTTTGTTAATTGTGGGCAGGCTGATTACCCCATGCTCATGTCTTACCTTTTTTTTTTTTTGGGAGATTTCACCCATTCCAAATTTTAGTAAACTAGGTTAAATTACAAATTTGGTTCTTATGATTTGACATGATTCTCAGGGCACGTGGGTTCTTATAGTTTGGGTTTAATTTTAATTATGGTCTCTTTGGTCAAACGTTACGAATGGTTCTCGTTGGAAGTATTGAATACGTGACACATTTCTATTTGCATGATAAAGAGGTTGTGTTTTTTAATTTGACTCATAGCTACTTGTATTAAAAGTTCGAAGAAAAAGATTTCTGGGTAGGTAAAAAATGTTCTAGGATGATTTGGGAGGTTAATAAGATTAAATTGAAATTAATCATAGTAACTTTCATTATATGGATAAATTAAAATTAAAGTTCAAATCATAGAATTTATTTAAGTCGAAATTTTATATTTCCAAATATTTCAAGTCCTCATGAAGCATTAAATAGTACTTTGTTGAATAATACACTCACCTCAGCAATAGCTCAATGAGTATCATCTTCATAATTTGATTTTTAAATGAGTACGAAGTTGTCCCAAGTTAGAAAAATATGTGTTCCAACTACTATAAAAGGAACCGATGACTTTGAGTTTTATTCATCTCAAACGGGCTCTTAATGTTCCATATACATAATTTGACACATCAACAATTTTTTAACTTTTTTTTAAAAAAATCTTACTCGTGGTGGTTGGGGTATTTATTTCGAGTAAACTATAAGATGGTGATGATGATAGAATTTTTTTTAGTACAATTGTAGGTAATACCTACTCACACCTTCCACACTAAAACACTTCAATTGATAATTATTTTATTGGTTTAAATTTCATAATTCTTGACCTTTCAAAACATTTATTTTATCTTTTCAGCTTCATATTTTAGTATTTCTAATTTTGAGTTTATTTCATTAGAATTTTTATTTTGATTTTTAACTCTAAAAACAACTCCTTTAGTATTGTTACACTATTATTTAATAAATTAATAGGATGAATTTAAGTAATGTGTATGTACCGAAACTACATTGAGGTGGATGAGTAAATAGTAGGTGACAAAATAATAGTACTATGAAAATAGTTATTTTTTTTTTCCTTGATAAAATAGATGATCAAAATGGTTATTTTTCAGAAGTTTAAAAACTTAAATGAATATTTTGAAAGTCGGAGGATCAAATAAAATAAACTTCGAACGTCTGAGACTAAAATGAGATTTAAACCAACTTTAATCTATAGATGGAAATAAATGGAAGTAATATGCAAAAATTTCCACACCATTTCATGAGATTTAAATTTTAAATCCACTTTATTTTTTATTTTAATATAACGAACATATGCCAGAGATTGAACCTACGACTTTTAGGGAAGAAAATATATCTTGACCGCTAGACTATGCTATATTGACAAACTCACTTTATTTCATCGACTCCATATTATTTTTGAATTTAATTTCATACTCTCGGTAGTACTAGAAAATTTCGTGTAATTAAGTTGTGCTTTATACACGTGTCATGATGTGACGGGTTTGGATATTGGATGGGAAGTTGTGGAGGATGGGTTATTTTTGTTAACATTTTAATTATGCCGACAATAAAGTTGAGGGACAGATATGAATAATTATGTAAAGATTTAGATGTCTCACTTATTTTTGTTTTAACTGTGAAGACATTTATTTTAAGTTCTAGACTTTATAATTATTTTAGTCCTTTTGTTGTTAATTTTGTCCATAAATTATTTAATAGATGTCTAAGTACATCTACCTATATTTGGTCAAGTGTCTAAGTCTTATAATAGATTCAAAATTTTATCAAATGATTAATGAAAAATAAGCCACAAAGATTAAAATAGGTTTTTAGACAAAGTTTAGAGATTGATACAGAATATTTGAAAGCGTAAGGATAAAATGAGTATGGAAGTTTAAGAATTAAAGCCCTAGTTTAAACTTTGGCTTAATTAGTATTCATAAAAAACTTAGTTTGTGTAATTTTGGACTAAGAAGTGATATGGATTTGTGTCATTTTTTGCTGATAAATTTTATACTATGACAAAGATTAACATAATTTGGTTCTTGAACTCTCAAGATATCTATTTAAGTCTCTAAATTAATGGTTAAAAAACAACCATTTTGGTTATCGCCACTACATTAATTATTTAAACATATGTATAATTTGATTTCAAATAGTACGTAGGAATGCATTAGCTGAAATAGGTATTGAGTGAACAAATACTAGGTGCCATAATAATAGTAAGTATTAACATAATTCATTATTATTTTATTTTAAAGTTTAGAGACTCGGACTAAAATGGTTTTATTCTTTTAAAACTTTAAATACTAAAATAAACATGTTGTAGAAGGTAAAATTCATACTTTCATATACTAAAATATAAGATTTAAACCCTAATTTATCAATGTGGCCATTTTTATATAGAAAAATATTTAATTGTTTACGGTCATAAATTTTAAAAAAAAAATTGTCAAACAGTAAAATAAAGCATTTTTAAAAGTTTTTATTTGGCCATTACTCATAAAGGAAAACATCTAACTCTTATAAATTTGGTAGGTGACATTTAAAGCGTCACCGACCAATCAAAACGCTGCATTTATCACCCCAAAACCTACCAATCACACCCACCCATCCAACCACATTAATTCCCCTCTATGTAAACTCCACAATCCCCACTTGTTTAAACTCAAACTAGTTCCACATAATAATTCTTCACTAAAATTTACCTATTTCCATGGCGAGCGGCTCCGTGAAGCTTAGTTTGGCAGCAGCGCTTCTTTGCATTGTGATCGGTGCAAAGGTGGCTGAAGCGGCTATGTCGTGCAACCAAGTGGTCAGCGACTTGGCTCCATGTGTGTCGTTTGTGACCAGCGGCGGAACTCCGTCGATGATTTGCTGCAATGGCGTGAGGACCCTAAACAGTCAGGCTCAGACGACAGCCGACCGACAGGGGGCGTGTCAATGCTTGAAATCGGTCATCGTTCGAGTCTCGTATAATCCCAGCAATGTTGCTAATGCTGCAGCTCTTCCGGCACGCTGTGGCGTTAATTTTCCATACAAGATTAGCCCTAGTATTGATTGCAAGAGGTAAATCTCTTCTTGATCTCTACACTTTCTTAAAATCCATATAAATGAATTAAATTTACCTAATCCGTCAGTTTAAGTTTTTGAGTCGAGTGATCGTTTGTTCGTTCTTAAGATGATATCAGAGCGGGAGGTCCTCTTTTTTTCCCCTACATTGTTATTTCCTTCCAACTTTTTCCAACTTTTAAAAAATAACTAGAARGTTTGAATAATATGTGTTGTTCTTCTCTGAACTACAAAAAAATGCTCTAATTACTTGCTAAATTATTATTTTGCAGCATTAGAAAGTGAGGAAAATCCAGCACTGATCTACAAGACGACGTCGTAGCAATGAGAGAATAAATGAAGGAGAAGTTTAGTATTTTCATTAAATGAGGAAGGTTTATTTGGGGTTTGCCAATTTATGAATGAATATATATATATATATATATATATATATATATATATTTTGTAATGGATTTATGGTTAGAAATCCAAAATTATATATTATATGTTAAATGTGATGTGGGATTTAAGGTTTGTTTCGAGAAGTTTTTATGAAAATTATTTCGATTAAAGTATTATATTTTAGTCGCAGTACTTTCAGCTATCAAAATGAACCAACACTAAAAAGTAGAAAGATCAGAGTAGTATTTTAATCGAAGAATATTATTACTAATGTTTTGATCGTTATCACTATTTTGAAAATAGATTAGAAGTCAAAATACGTTAAAAAAAAATTATATTTGTTCTAAAACCTATTATAAATAATATAAATTTATTTTGACATTTCTTAAAATATATATTTAAAGGATCTGTGATAAATTTATGTAACGTGAAATTAAAGAACTTCAATTAAATATATTTAATAGGTTTGTTTGCTTACCAATCTCAATTCTCGTACTCTACGATGTTACTAATTTCACATACCATCTAAAAATTTAGACTTATGAAACTCATCATTTTAATCCATATATACTAATTTTTAGAAATAATAAATCCTTAAAATTAAATACGAGTTATATAAACTTTATTTTCTTAACTGTTTATCAAATTTAAATCCAAACTATATAAACTAGAACTTTATGGCACCAAACTTGTCGAAATTATGAGTTGATAACGCCCTCTTTAAAGTGATCTATTATGGTAGGGTGTATACAAGTTGAATTGGGTCGAGTTAAAGAATTTTTAGATTAATGAAAAAATTCAAGTGGATCGATTCTTCTATCTAATAGAACTAAATCAATTTAAGTTAGGTTGGGTCGTCGAATTTCAAGTTTACCATCAAACCAAAAGTTCACACATTCACAATCAATTATCAAATCAACAACAAATTCAATAAAACTACGATGATGCATGTCAACTTACAACTAATCGACTTAAATATAGTTCAACTAGTTAAAACACTAATCTATATTTTTAAACGTGTTAAATAAGGAGCCACGTGTGAATAAATGGGTAATCAATTTTAATGAATTATGATGGTTTAAAAATACTTAATCTTTTTTCCTAATTTGGATATATTTCAATTTGGTCTCCACAATTTTAAAAGTTAATTAATTGTATTTTAGACTTAAATTCAATTTGATATGATATCTATGATTTGAATTTATAATTTAGTTTCTATAATTTTAAGAGTTTTAATTTAGTTAAATTTCACAAATAATTTATGTAGTTATTATATTGACAAATTTTTTACATGACAATTTTTTAGTTGTTATTGTCTATTTTGCTAAATGTGTTGGTTGTATTATAAATATGCGAGTTTTTCAAGTGGGTAAAAACACAATTGGGTGATAAATTATGAGATTTAACCAAACTATAGAAACCCAATTAAAACTAAACTCAAACAATTATGAGATTTAACCAAACTATAGAAACCCAATTAAAACTAAACTCAAACTACATAGACTAATTAAAACTTTAAGAATTCTGAATTTATAAAGACTAAATTGAAATAAATATTTGTCATTGGTTGGGAGAATCAGAATGTATTGTTAATTTTGAAATTTGAATGAAGGTTGAGTTTTTTTTTTAAAAAAATTTTTTAGATCATATTTCTCAAGAAAAGATTTGCCTTTTTAATATTATCTCTTTAATCTTCATATTGTTTATTAATAGGATAAATATGATAGGAGTAGCTTGAATAATGTGACTATAATTTAACACCATTAAATTTATGAAAGAGAATTTAAAAGTTGTATTTTGAATCTGTATCAAACGATTATTTAAGGGTAGAAAAATTTTAGATTTTGTATTTAACAATTGTTTGGATGTAGCGACAAGAATAATTTCTTTATAAAAATATTTTCAATAAATAGGAATAATCATAATATAATATTCAATATTTAATTAAATATAGATTGAAAATTACCAATCCAATTAGTCTCTAGATTTTAATTTTAATTTAGTATTTATAATTTTAAGTTTCAAAAGGCTCATATGATTTAGTTAAATCTTACGAATTATCCCTAAATCTTACCACTTTTCTTCTTTAATTTTTTTTACCGTGGACTTATCTCTAATACTATCACCTAATACAAATAAAAAACGAAGTTCATTACCACGTTGTTTGGAGAAGGGAATACTGGGGACACGTGGAAGGTCCCTATTGGTGCTCCAAGATGACTCATGAATCATGCCCAGCTCGGAAGGCCGAACTGGCCGCCACCAACGCCGACAAATGCCAAGTGTGAAGGCCGAGGTGAGCCTGGCTCAGGTCTGACTCACCAGGGAGCTCGGTATGGGCCGAGATGCGCAACTGTCTGCGGCGTGATTATCGGGCGTAACCGTCGGTCCCGAGATTACCGGATGTAACCGACGGTCCCGAGATTACCGAATGTAACAGTCGCTAGATTAGCGGGACCACCACCTATAAGTAGGGGACCTCACTCCCCGATCAGGTACGATGATTTCTGGCTTCGAACTAGACTTGGAATCCGACCTATACTGACTTGATCGTCGGAGTGCTCACCTTT